AATGCTGCCCTGGGGATTGAACTTGGGGGTTTTATAAATGCTAGGTACCTACTTCATGAGGAAAACTATAAGCTCAGCCCCACCCTTTTGCTTTTTCCTGATTTTGAAAAAAGACCTTATTATGCAGCCTAAGGGGGTCTTGAAATAGTTCTTTCCAGAGCCTCCAGAGAAGCAAGGATTACAGGAATGTGATACCACACTCAATCACACTCAATCTTCAAACACAAGCATGTTACTTTCCTGTTGGGATAATCTATTTATACACTGTGGAAAGATGTATCTCTGTCTTTCCTCACCTGCTTAAGGCACCTTCTGATTGGTTTAATACGGAGCTGAATGTCCAATAGCTAGGCAGGAGAGGAAAGGCAGAATTCTTGGCACAGACAAAAGCTCTGGGAAAGAATCAGAGGCATGGGAGATTCACTAGCCACATGCCGAGAAAGTCAGATGTGCCATATTGAAGAGAGGTAAGGAGCCACATGGCAGAACAAAGATTAATATAAACAGGTTAATTTCAATTTTAAGAGACAGTTGGGAACAAGCCTAAGCTAAGGCCAAGGTTTCATAATTAACAAGAAGTCTCTATGTTACTATTTGGGAGCTGGTGGTCCAAATAAATACTGGCTCCACTTTCCATGTCTGCTTCTGTGTGGTTTTCAGCTACGTGGCAAGCTTTGTATAATATACCTCTAGGGATGCTAATTACCCAATACATATCATTTTGATTTTACAGTTATTTTAGTTGTGTGTTTGTGTGTGTGTAGATTGTTGTGGTGCCCACTCATTCTCTTTTTACTATGTGGGGTCTAGACTGTCAGGCTTGTCTCCAGGTACATTGACCACTGAGTCATCTCACCTGGCCCTTATTCTGTTTTGCTTTCTACTTGGGACACAGATATGGCATCACCCCGAGAAAACTTCATATGACCTGGTGCTTCTCTCAATAACAAAGGGCCCAGATTTCAGAATTTAAAATGCAAACATGAATGAAAATTAGGTGAGTAGGAAATTTTAATCTTAAATGTACTTCAGATTCAAAAGGGAAGGGAAGAGAAGGGGGTGTAAAATGAATCTTTAAAAGGTAATATTAATTAAAACAAACCCAGAGCCAGGTATTGGGGTGAACACTGAATGATAAGAGAAACAGAACCAGCCACAGCTGTCCTCACCTTGACAATTCCTCAGCTGATCTTGTTTCCTCAAACTGGAAGCCTCTGAGTCCTCATTGGAATGGATATCAGCTGAACTGCTACTCAAAGCCTATATACTTAAAAAGGCCTCTATTTCCTGGTCCTCATGTGTTATATACCTTTCTGCTTCCAGCCATCACTTCCTGGGGTTAAGGCGTGTGTCACCATGCCTGGCTGTTTCCAATGTGGCTCTGAACTCATAGAGATCCAGATAGATCTCTACCTCAGAAATGCTAAGATTAATGGTATATATGCCACCATTTTCTGTCCTGTATGTTTATCTAGTGGCTGTTCTGTTCTTTGACGACAGATAAGTTTATTAAGGTGCACAATTTATTGGGCGACAGTGTATCACCACAAGGGGGGAGAAAAATTAATATCTGAAGTGTTTTTTTATTGTATTATTCCAGGCTCTCCTTGAACTCACTGTATAGCTGAGGAGGCCCTGTTACTCCTAATCTTCCTATACCAGCCTCATTATATTCATGTGTCACCATGTCTAACTGTATATTATGGTTTTAAATGTGTTATCCTGTGGTTTAAACTCATTGCCTCAGGCTGGAGAAGCATGCACTGTGTTCAGAGCTCATTATTAGCCCACATCCATTTAATGCTACATGAAGAAACCATTTCTTTAAAACCAAATGGAACAAATGAAAAAAATGCATGGATGAGTGTGGCATGATGAATGTCACTTATAACCTCAGCAGTTTTTAGGTCGAAACAGAAGAGGGACTTTGGAGGCTAGCTACATACCGAGTTTCAGGACAGTCTGGTCACATAATGTGTTAAGACAGCCTCAGATACATAGTGAGACCTTGTCTCAAACAACAGAAAAAAAATAAATGCAACAATCTTTAAATTGAATTATATGAAAATGATAGGGTAGCCAAGCTTACTAATTATAAACATGCCATTAGACTAAAAGATTTCAAATGGATTACCTGAAATTATGAACATAATATTATGATATTTCTCTAGTTCTTCCTAAAAGTGATTTCCAAAATTGCTGTATGCCCATATCTTCCTAGTTAGACTGGAGAAAGTTTATGATTCATATACATTGTTAGAAGGGCAGATGAGATACCTCAGTTGGTAAATGCTTGAAATGCAACCTTTAGTTCTCAAATTGAATAGCCAGTTTCCTCTAAAAATCCCACATTTGACGGCCAGTGATATGGCTCAGTGGATAAATACACTTGTTGCCACACCTGAACACTTTAGTTGGATATTTGGATACCCGGTTTGAATGGAGAGAACCAACTCCTGTGACGTGTCCTCTAATCCACTCTGTGCAGTGTAGGAGGTCACATACTGCACAAATCCACAGAAATGAAAAAATAAACAGTGAATGTAAATAAAATGTTGAGCACAGTGGTATATATTTGTAGTCTCAGAGATGAGGAGGCAGATGACAGAGAATTCCTGGAACTCACTCACTGGCCATCCAACCTAGTCTAATCGGTCATCCAGGACAAATGAGAGACTTGTCTCTCATTGTTCATCTTCAGTGTTGACTTCTGGTCTCCCTGTGTGAGTACATCCACATTTAATCACAGCTCAACAAACTTGTCATGTGTATACACACACACACACACACACACAGAGAGGGGGGGGAGAGAGAGGGAGAGAGAGGGGGGGGGGGGAGAGAGTGGGAGAGAGAGAGAGAGAGAGAGAGAGAGAGAGAGAGAGAGAGAGAGAGAGAGAGAGAGAATAAGAGTGTGTGTTATCAGAAAAGGAAATGAAATTCTGTTAAGTATGCAGTATTTACCATGTTTGTCTTTCTGAGTCTGGGTTACCTCACTCAGGATGATTTTTTCTAGATCCATCCATTTGTCTGCAAACCTCATGATGCCATTGTTTTTTTCTGCTGAGTAGTATTCCATTGTGTATATGTACCACATTTTGTTTATCCATTCTTCAGTTGAAGGGCATCTGGGTTGTTTCCATGTTCTGGCTATTACAAACAATGCTGATATGAACATAGCTGAACAAGTGCTCTTATGGTGTGGTTGAGCATTTCTTGGGTATATGCCCAAGAGTGGTATAGCTGGATCTTGGGGGAGATTGATTCCCAATTTTCTAAGAAAGCGCCATATTGATTTCCAAAGTGGTTGTACAAGCTTGCATTCCCACCAGCAGTGGAGGAGAGTTCCCCTAGCTCCACATCCTCTCCAGCATAAGGTGTCTTCAGTGTTTTTGATCTTAGCCATTCTGACAGGCGTACTCACTCATAGCAGGATACTAGACATGAAACAAGGATGAATTGTCTGCTACTCACATCACCAGGGAGGCTACCCGGAAAACAGGACCCCAAGAAAGACACAGGGATCGCCCAATGACAGAGAAATGGAATGAGATCTACATGAACAGCCTGGACATGAGTGGGGGTAATGAAAGGCGAGGGTCGAGGGAAAGAGAGCTTGGGGGAGCGGGAGATCCCAGCTGGATCAACAACAGAGAGGGAGAACAAGGAATAGGAGACCATGGTAAATGAAGACCACATGAGAACAGGAAGAAGCAAAGTGCTAGAGAGGCCCACAGAAATCCACAAAGATACCCACACAACAGACTGCCGGCAATGGTCGAGAGACAGCCCGAACTGACCTACTCTGGTGATGGGATGGCCAAACACCCTAATTGTTGTGCTAGAAACCTCATCCAACTACTGAGGGATCTGGATGCAGAGATCCATGACTAGGCCCTGGGTGGATCTCTGGGAGTCCAATCAACGAGAATGAGGAGGGTTTATATGAGTGAGAATTGTTGAGACCAAGGTTGGATAAAGCACAGGGACAAATAGCCAAATGAATGGAAACACATGAACTATGAACCAATGGCTGAGGGGTCCACACTGGATCAGGCCCTCCGAATGGGTGAGACAGTTGATTGGCTTGATCTGTTTGGGAGGCATCCAGGCAGTGGGACCAGATCTTGTGCTCATTGCATGAGTTGGCTGTTTGAAACCTGGGGCCTATGCAGGATTGTTTGGCTTGGCCTGGGAGGAGGGGACTAGACCTACCTGGACTGAGTCTACCAGGTTGACCTCAGTCTGTGGGGAAGGCTTTGCCCTGGAGGAGATGGGAATGGGGGGGGGGGCATTGGGGGGAAGGTGAGGGGGACGGGAGGGGGGAGAACAAGGGAATCCGTGACTGATATGTAGAACTGAATTGTATTGCAAAATAAATTAAAATAAATTAAAAAAAAAAAGATATTTGATATGAAAAAAAAAAAGTATGCAGTATTTAATTCCTTAAATTGAAAATTGGATTGCTAGGTAACAAATTGTGACAGCAAAAGGCTTTCTCGAGTACTTTTGTAAAAAGTACTTAATGGATTCTATTTGGGGTACAGAAGTAGCATAGAAAAAAATTTCAAGGCAAAAAAAAAAAAAAAACCACCAAGAAAGCAAACAACCTGCCAGGTTTGGAGGCTCACTGAAGGTCAGCCTGTGCTATACAGCCAGACCCTGACTAAAACCACAAGAGTCTAAGATCTTAATTTGTACTAATGTGGGGAGGGCTACTGAAGGGTTTCTAAAAGCCTGAGCATGGCAAACATGGCTCTGGCCATCCTTTCCCTTCTCCCCCAATGACTCTGCCTTGCTAAAAATCCACTAGATTGCATTCATAAAGCTAGCCATCAAGGTCCATTCACTTATATGACCACTTCTTCCTCCTGAGGCTGACTACCAACTTCCAGCCATCCAAGCATTAAAGTCCAGCCATCAAAAGCCCCCTCTGGCTCACCTAACTAACATGCTCCAGTCTAATGAAACACTTCATCCTAACACAGGGTTTCTTCTTTTACCTTCATAAACTGCCATTTTTGGCTGGGCCACATCTGTCGCCTCTCTGTCCAGAGGCAGTCCTTTGTCCCTCTCCAGGACAAACATTCCTGTCCCTTTCCCTTGTTCCCTTCCCCTTCTAAACTGTCCTCTATCTGTCTTTATCTGATGTAGAATAATCCTTTTGCACACTGCGAAGATCTGTCACTGTGATTGGTTTAAGAAAGAAGCTGACTGGCCAAATGCTGAACAGGATAAAGTTAGGTGGGAAAGTCAAATTGAGAATACTGGGAGGAAGAAGCGTGGAGTCTGGAGACATCAACCAGCTGTGGAGCAAGCAGGACATGTAGAAATTGAGGTAACCAGCCACGAGCCATGGAGCAGAGCATAACTAGAAATATAGGTTAATTTAAATGTAAGAGTTAGCTAATAACAAGCCTTAGCCATTGGCTGAGCATTTGTAATAAATATAACCTCTGAGTGGTTATTTGAGAGCATCCCCGGGATAGGAAAACTCCTACATTTGTCTCTTATGCCCTGACCTCTGTCACTCTGGGGCAAATAGATCTCCTTTGTGCTAAGAACTTGGTCTTGGGGTGTCCTGAGCCGATGCCATTTCCTTTCAATATTCATGTCCCTTTCTGAGAAATTCCAACTGTACACATTTTCAGAAACCTTAGAAGGATGTAAATGCACATATTTACTCAGAGGCCGTTTCATCTGGATCACCATGCTTTTATGTAGAGGCATTCCTTGTGGATAAGGTTCTGGTTGCTCCCTGTTCCCCTGAATCACTGATGCTTCTGTTGATCCTCTCTTCCTGTTCTGAAGCTCTCCTCTCACCTGCTCATCCAAGCTGCCTTAAAACACCCAGGGTCAAGACTGCTCCTGCCTCAGCACCTCACTATCTGAGAATGCTACTGAGCCTACTGTGTGCCTTCTAAATTCCCTTCCCTTTTCCATCCCTAGGCAGGCCTGCTCTCTAGTAGCTGGCCCCTCCTCTCCCAGTTCATTTTATGGTTCCTCTCCAAGTCCAGCCCCTACTCCAGCTATGGACACTCACTTTGCTCCTCCCTTCACACCTGTGTGGCTCTGCCCATTTGTAGAGCCTGCCTTCCTTGCTCCTATTATTTGCTATTTTGGAACTCTCATCTCTGCCCCACACCCAACCTCTCCCTTTCCCCCCTCTCCCGCTCTGATTTATTGGGTCTCTGGACATCATACAACAAGTCCTACAGTTTCTAGGTTTAGAGAATAGGGACAGTATGTTGGATGGTAAGGGGGATGTGGACAAGGGGATTAGAGGGGGCAATCGCGGGGAGCCATGACGAGGGGGCAAAGTGAAGCAATGACATAGTCAGCAGTTTGTCATTATCACGACAAACATCCACAGAAATCCACCAACCAATGCCCATTTTCCATCTTTCCATCCCAGATCCCCAGAACGCGGTGGTGGCTCAAGCCTTTAATCACAGCACTCAGGAGGCAAAGGCAGGATTGTCACCGTGAGTTCGAGGCCAGCCTGGTCTCCAAAGCGAGTTCCAGGAGAGGCGCAAAGACACACAGAGAAACCCTGTCTCGAAAACCAAGAGAAAAGAAAGCTATCTCTGTACTTTCACCAAAAGATCACGTGGGTCGAGACTCAGTAAGAGGCTGGATGTTATTTGAAAATAACTGAAGAGCCTGGCCGTGGTGCTGCATGCCTTTAATCCCAGCATTCGGGAGGCAGAGGCAGGTGGATCTCTGTGAGTTCCAGGCCATTCTGGTCTACAGAGTGAGTTCCAGGACAGGCACCAAAACTACACAGAGAAACCCTGTCTGGAAAAAAACAAAAAGGAAAACGAAAGAAAAAAAAAGGAAAAAAAATACCGTCCGATTCAGTCCCTGCCCCATTCAAAAGTCATTAATTCACTCGTCATTTTTAAGCTTCCCTTCTGGAAAACAGGAGTGGATGACGCACAACGGGCCCAGGGACAGACAGGATGGAAGGATGTTCAGTGGGGAAGAAGACAGGAGAAACAGAGCTCAAAGCCTCTCTGCAACGGTCCACACCGCCAGGCGCCATTTTATGAAGCCTGTGTGATACTGAGGCTTCTCCATCAAGATTCTTCCCGAGTAGAGGGGACCCTGAGGACGGAGAGGGGCCCAACTGCTACATGCATAGAGACATGACTACAAAGAACTGTTACCCTCACGGTTTGTCATCATATGGCCACCAGGAGCTGGATTCCAAGCCATGTCAAAGAGGAGGGCGCCCCATGCAGACTCTCTTCCTGGACTATCCTGCAGCTCTCAACACTTGGCTAGTGACGCCTGCCAATCACTGTCCTTGCCTGCACTGTTGCTAAGGCTCAATGGGCAGAGTTTCCTGCGTGTCTGTCAGCATCAGACCTCCAATCAGGAGTGAGGGGAGGGGATTTTCGAGTCAGGGTTTCTCTGAGTAGTCTGGCTGTCTGAGAACGCAGCAGACTGGCCTTTAACTCAGATGTCTGCCTTTCTCTGCCTCCTGAAGGCCTGCATTAAAGGCATGTGCCACCGCAGCAGGGCCACAAATTTTATTTTTTATTTTAATTATACTAATTTTTTTTTAACCAGGCAGTAGTGGCGCGGGACTTTAAACCCAGGACTTGAGAGGCAGAGGCAGGCTCATCTCTGAGAGTTCGAGTTCAGCCTGGTTTACAAAAACGAGTTCCAGGAAAGCTAGGAATTTTTTTTCCAGACAGAGCTCTCATAGTACTGGCTCTTCAGCAACTCACCATTATAACAGGCTTGCCTCAAACACAGTTATGTGACTGCCTCTGCCTCTGGAATGCTAGGATAAAAGTCATGTGTCCCTATTCCTAGCCAGTTATCACAAATATTGGTATTAGGACCCATCCAAGGTTTAATACTAACTCAAAAATTTTTTAATCAGTTTCTTAAATTTTATCCCCAGTATATATGAGGAAAATTGCGATCATTTCCATTTGGGCTTGAATAATATTCTCTTTATCCTTTCTTTTACTTATGTTTAATTTATAATTTTTAGTTTAAACATCTGGGCCTCTATGAATGTGTGTGAATGAAGTTTTGCCTAGTGTCTGTCAGTCCAGAAGAGGACTGGAACCCCTACCAATCTGGGGTTACAGAAAGTTTTGTGCCACCTGACTGTGGTGCTGGGACTCAAAGTATGGGAATAGGCAAGAACAGTGCTGATCCAAACGTTACTTCTAAGCCACCTTTTTTGCTCACAAAAAGTTTTCAAATCTTTGTGCAATTTCATGTTTCACTATTTCTTTGGAGGAGATATAATCAATGTTTGAATTTTGTCATGTGAAAACATATTCATTGGTTTTATGCATCCTTAAACAAGTCCTCTAGAGCCAGAGTGGAGGTCTGAAGGAGGAGCCATGAGTTCCAAGCCAGCCTGAGCGAGTAGTGAGACTATTTCTCAGCTAAGAAAATAACATTTCCACCCAATCTGGAATGTCCTCACAATTCCATATGGTAACATACAGAGTATAGAAGAGATCACAGATTATAGAGTGTGGGTCAAAATTCATACTATATACAGTATGTAAGAATCACCTGAGAGACTTACTAAAACAGAACTTGCCTATATACCATGCCCCAAGCCTGTAATCCCAGGTACGGATATCAGAAATTTGAAGCCTGCCTGGGATATAAGGTGAGTCCTTGCGTCAACAGGCCTAGAAATATCTCTAAGAACATTTTAAAAAGTGTGAGAAGGTCCATCTTCATATATGTATACACACATACACACATACACATAATAAAAATTACTGACTAATATGCTATGAATTTTAAAGAGAGCAAGCTTACTAATATGTGAACCTTTAAATTAGGAAATGAAAAGTTTAGGAATAAGTTAATTATATCATAATGTCAAATATGGAAAAAGTAATTTTAAAAATTGCCTGTGCATGTGAGAGAAAACAAGGAAAATTACTTTCAACACGAGTCTTGAATCTATTTAGGTGAATTTCAAAATATCATATGATACAAATCTTTGGATTCTTTCTAGAAAGTTGAAACTAAGATGATGTTGGTGGTGATATACATAATAAAAATCTGAAAGTGACTATGTGTGACAGGGTCTCATAAAGTTCAGGCTAACTTTCTACACAGCTGAGTATGATCTGGAATTTCTGATCTTTCTGCCTCTAGTGAGCATGTATGGAGGGCACAGACATGCATTACCATTCTTTGGTTTATGCAAGGCTCGAAATCAAAATCAAGGCTTTGTGCATACTAGGGAAACAGTCTAACAATTTAACTGTACTTTGAACTCTCAATAGATTTATTTGAGACAGGTTCTTATACTGCGGCTCAGGCTGGCCTCATATTTGTAGAAATTTCCCTGCTTCAGTATCTACAAGTACTGGGATAACAAGCTACTATGACATTTTACCCACACTAAAGCAGGGGTTTGTGTGTGTGTGTGTAGAGGTGGTGGCTAGAGGTGAACTTGGGTGTCTTTCTCAGTCACTTTCCACTTTAGTGTTTGAGACTAGTTCTCTCCCTGAACCTGTACATCACTCCTTCACCACACTGGCTATCCAGCAAGTCCTGGGAATCCTACTGTCTCCACCACCTCAAGAGTGCTATTATCATGCCAGCACCCTGGGGAATCAAACTCAGACCCTCAAGCTTATACAACAAGCTCTTTAGCAACTGAGCAATTGTCCCAGCCACATTACTAACAAGTTTGTTTGGCTCTTAGTTAACTTAATGAACTAAGTTCATATTTTATTTTATTTCATTTTTTTTTCATTTTTGAGAGAGTGTCTCATGTAGCCTAGTGTGTCCTTGAACTCACTGAGCAGTTGAGGTTGACATTGAAGTCCTGATTCGTCTGATGTGTTCAGGTCTAGATCAATATTTGAAAGACGACTTGTTTAGGTGAAAGCAGTAACCCTCCCGTGTCTATTGAAAGAGGTGAAATAAAACAGGAATAGTGGATAATTTAATATAACATTTGGCTGGTTTTTTTGTAGTACTGGGGACTAAATCCAGGGCTTTTAATATGTTCATGAAGTTATGTAGGTCTAAGACTGAGCTACATACCTAGACCTTTGATATTTTTAATTCTTCGGACACAGGGTGTT